CTTTTCACATCAACTATTTTAATACTGTCAGACTGTAGAACCCTTGAAGCAGACCATTTAAAAAAAAACTACACTTCAGCTAACCACTAGCTTTTGAGAAATTACTAGCAAAATTTAGGTAGGTCTTTATCATTCTTATCTGTTCTCACTTAAGAAGTGTAAGTTCTGTGGTTATTTGTAGGATATTGCTGTGCGCAATTGCCTGCGAAATACACGCATACTGTGAAGTGTTCGACAATGTGATAAGGCGTTGCATTAAATGCAAGTATTATTATTATATTCTTGACAATATTTGAAAAAAGAGAGAATCTCCCTGTGTCCTGATTAACAGTCCTCCAGATAATAGTGGTCATTCACTTCCTGACTGTTTGTGGGATATTGTTGCCACATTGACCTACCACACAGTTTCTACAATTTATAGAAATTTTTATAAAGAACTTTGAGATATTATATATTATTAAATGCAAGAATTAATATTGTTTTATGCCTCAGGGGTATTAGTATCCACCCTAACTGTTTATCAGGATATTTGTCTGGGAAGTCTGTTGTTTGGCAAATAGATAATTAAAGGAAGTATGAAGCCGCCTTGCTGATGCATTAATTGGGATGGATGAAAAAGGGCCTCTCATTTCTGTGGTAAAGCTTGGCTTCTATTTCAACAACAGTGGCTAGCTTAAATATTATTGTCTCTTATTTCTATTCACATAGAATCATCCAGATCCCTCAAGTTTATGATTGAACCACAAAACTCTACAGCGCAGAAGGACACTCGGCCCTTAGTGCTTGTTCTGAATCTTCAAAAGAGTAATTAATTCAGTTCCGTTTACCTGCCTTTCTGAACATACTTTGTTCACCTACAAAATACAGTCACTACATTTTACAGTAAATTATGTGAATTTAAGATTTCTTCTCAACAAGGTGATATATCATATGCAAGGATTATTATTATTTAAAGTTTTATCTCAAATTTAGCTTGATATATATATATATATATATACACACACACATATTATATATACAATTGGTAGCACATGCACCTCTGCGTCAGAAGGTTGTAGGTTTAAAGGCTACATTCCCCAATCTCCATGAAACATAGCAAAAGGTAGGTGTAAAATGGCATGTGAAATCTAATAAACCAGTACTCCTTACAGGTGATTTATTGACACTTACAATGATAAGCCAAGGTTCCAAAATGCAATGCATAAGCAGTTAAAATGAACCCTATAAAACAGTCTTCCAATCCAACTTCAGCCTTCCTGTTACAATTAACAGGAAATTGTGCTCCAGATATTGCTATGTGCTGGCTACACAATCACATCATTCAACTAATACTGCAGCATTATTAAGGAAATTTCCAGGTGGTGGTCGTTGCTACAGATACTTGAGGGATAGTGAGAGGAATTCAGTTTCATACAAACTGCTTTATCTGCAAAGTGACAACTCTTGCAGTCCGCCATCAGGCTCTTTAACAGAAACTTTCAACTTACCAAATGGTCCCTGCCATGCTTCAGCAGGAACATCGGGAAGGCAGATGTGCAATCAACCAGCCTGCAACATCTTGCCCGATAGAGTACAGAGGCCATGTCAGTGATTGCTCTTTGATATGAAATGCTGTGTGAACAGCTGTACAGGACCCAGATAAACCAAATTCATTGTTACATCAAATTAATAGATAGGGGGAGGGGAGAGAGGATGAAGGAAGTGTGACCCCCTTGTACACAATATTGTTGATTTTAGAGATTTGTGGTGAGCACAAGTACTGTCCATAGATACATAATTTTCTGTCCTCTCAAATCAGTCTTGCATATGTGATTGTGATTCATCAGTGACTGTCCCTTCTGCATGTGTATAGTTTCTGTGCCCATCCATTTCTCACGTATCTATTTTCTCTGCTCAACTGTTCAATGCATCTAAATCTCGTCTATATTCACAATGTCCTTGAGTCCATTTCTGGACAGCACATCTGAGGCCAATTGTGATACAACTAATTACTTTTGCTTCTGCATTGAAGCACTTAGCAAGTAAACTATCTTACATCTATGATGCCTCTAATGAAGCGAGGAATATGTTTTTAGTTTTCAACTGCAGTTCACCTGCAGAGAGAAGGTAACATGCCTTATAGCTCATTGGAAGAAAGTCAATCACTGACCTGAATGCTTGTTATCACGCCACTATCTCTCAATCAGCTGTACTAATTGGAATATACAGCACCTAAAACTCCCAGTATTCTCTATAACGCAATGTCCATTTCCCAAAGGACGAGGGATCAGAGGCATAATGCTACTCACCTAAATTGTTATAGTCACATTAACATGAATGAATATGGAACAAAATATGGCTTCAAAAGTCACTTCAAATCTTACATTTTAAGTTTTTTGACTGTTCACTTGTGATGTGAACACAATAAGATTTGGAAAGTCTCGGTTCACTCAAAAACCACAACCATGAATCTTAAGTAAGGAGTCTGATTCCACTTTTAAAATTATGTTACTCATACCTCCCCTGACACTGTTAAGAATCTCCAAGCTCAGTTTCCGTCAATCCAAATATTTCCTTTCTGCTCAAACAATTTTAACTATGCAATTCCCAAAATGTGAACTTGAATATTCATGACATATCTGGAAAGGCTCTTTTATCAACTTCCCTGCACCATGCACTTTGAGTCATTTTCCCAATGGGAAAGGGCTATATAAATGTAAACTGTAATGTACTATGGACAGAACAGAAAACACCTTGTATCTGAGAGGTATTCTTCCCCTCTAAAAACAAACACATGCCCACACAAACTTTGTTTATTTCATCAATACTGTACTAAAATGTTATCTTTAGTTCCTCCAAAACTTAAAATACACGTTCTTCCTTGTATCTCTCATTCTTTCCTTCCTCCCATAATTTAGAAACTTTTACAAACATCCTTTACATCACATAATTTCTCATCCCATTTTCTCCCTAGCCTAGATGTTCTTTTAAAAACAATTTAGTTTGCTACTATCGATCTCGCCTTGAACAGGGATTTGGTAATTAGTGAATCATGGAAATCCTTCAAATCTGATGAAACAAAATTAAAATCATCGAAGATAAAGGAATCAACACAAATATTCTCTGTAGGAACATTACAATATCACTCTCAAAGGATACACCATACAAGTAGCACAATCTCAATTCTACTATTTATTCTATTACTCATATTTCAGTGTAAAAGCTTGAGAACAGCCAGTCATAAATTTTCACATTGACAAGTTCTCCAATATTCTCCCAGGACTCTTGTTTTCCAATTTCTCCAGACAATTTCTCAATTTCTCTCACAGATAATTACCGCTGGTTCGCAAAAATCCACCTACATCAATCTGGAATCTCTTCCGTGGATTATAAATTCATACACTTACATATATTGTGTCAGAGCTCTATCAGCAATACACTCAGTTCATAATAATAAAATAACAATTCTTGCATTTGATGTAACACCTTTAAGGTCAGGATGTCACTTAATAGGATTTACTGTAAAGTGGAATAACAGTGTATTTCTGAAGGTGAAAGTTTAAGCTAATTTGCGCACAAGTCCCATAAACAGCCAGGAACTGAATGACCAATTTTATCTAGGAGATCACTGGCCAGTAGACCAGGAGAAATTACTTTATTTCGAAAAGTGCTATGGGATCTTTAATGTCAACATCTCACCAGCATCTTAATGTTTCATTCCACAACCTTCTGACTCGGGGACAAGAGTTACCAACAGACCATGTTAGTTTTTGTGCCAACAAATTTATTAAACCTAAGCTACATTTTAATGTTCTGAGGGACTTGCAGGTCACAGCTGACATGATCAGGAAGGAGCATTTTTGTTGGGATTTCTACATCTTACAGCTTTACAATTGCTCACTTAAATTGCACTGAGCACAATTCTTGCCTCAAACATATTCATTGTTACATTCACAAACAATTGCAACAAACTGAATATGTACTGAACCCGTTTATAAAACTGGCTCTCGATATAATGTTGTCATACAATTCAGGTTTACTGGTCAAGAACACTATTTGCCAACAGGGGAAATACCAAGAATCCAGTCAGTCACTACTTGTGAATTTATTTCATTCAATGCCAATCCAACAGTCATTAAATAAACTAAAAGTACATGGCTAAAAGCACAATCTCTGAATCACAAAACAGAACCCGATCCAATCTGAAAACAATGTTTAAGCATCTTAAATCAACCGAAAAAAATCCAAACCTCTCACGCAGTGCTTTCCAGTATTTGTTAAACCATAAATCCTAAATGGGCTATAATTGAGTTTTAAAATGATTAAATGAAGTACCATGGAAATAAATTATTTGGAAGTGTTTTTTGCAAGCTTGTAAATAAGGCACAGAAATCATAGATTATAGCCATTTACCACTGAGAGTGCTGAACACCTTTCTAAATCTGACACTGGAGCCATTTGCAATGTTTGAGGATCAGGAAGAACATTAAGAGTAGGCGTTTTAACCATCGAATGTCCGCTTCATGTAAATCCCCTCGATTTCTGGCAATAGAAACCGGGTTCCAATTCTCATCAAAAAGGGTTTGGCAAAGTGCAAATACAAAATCGGAGAGATGTCAGAATACCAAACAACACTGTTTCTTGCATTAAAACATTGGAAGCACAGCGTAAAGCACTCTCCGCACAGCGAGTCGTGCAACTAAATATGAGCGCAGTTAACTTTATCATTGGCATCGCAGTGCAGGAAGGGCGTAAATATCAGAGAGTCTGCAATAAATCCCCGAGAATCCATCAATTGCAACGCCTTTTATTGGACTGCAAATCCCTTCGACGTATTCCCCAAATCTCACCATCACTTTCCTATTTCTCATCCTCTTGGAACAATTCTGCCCCTTCATTCTAAAGCCTTTCCTCCAGATGTTTTTGCCATTTTATACATGAGATTAACTCCTCGGGTTTATTTGTTGATCCCCTCTCCACCATTTGTTAATCCACACCTCAAATTCCCATCAGTTTCTTACCTGGTAACACGGCAGCCACCAGCAGCACCAGCAGCAGCAGCAGGACCCTGAGCAGCTCCGGATCCATCTTCACACCGACCCGGACAGATGTGGCGATACCGTCAGCCCGAGGGGCCCGCGGGGCGGGGGGAGGGGCCCGCGGGGCGGGGGGCTGCGGGGCGGGGGCTGTGGGCCGGGCGGGGGGCTGCGGGGCGGGGGCTGTGGGGCGGGCGGGGGCTGCGGGGCGGGGGCTGCGGGCCGGGCGGGGGGCTGCGGGCCGGGCGGGGGGCTGCGGGGCGGGGGGAGGCGCTGCGGGGCGGGGGGAGGGGCTGCGGGGCGGGCGGGGGGCTGCGGGGCGGGCGGGGGGCGGGGGGAGGGGCTGCGGGCGTTTTCCTTTTGATTCCAACAAATGTGTGGAAGAAGCCGCACGGATCACAACCGCACGCGCCGCCCCGCGTGACCGTGCGCGTGACTGTGCGCGTGACAGCACCGAGCTCCCAGTGTCGGCCTCAGTGAGGGCGCGATCCCGGAGGCCGCCTCCTGCAGTACAAGCCGCGAATTCACAACCGCCCCGACAACTGTGTGGCGATGGTCCCGAGCACTCACAGCGGCGGGAAGGCCAGGCCCACCGCTGGATACAGCTCAGCAGCCGAGGCGCCCGCAAACCAAAGCACCGCAAAGCAGCCGCTACCGCGCACTCCGCCGCTCGCGCGCTTCTCAACGCCAACTGCCAATCACCACCTGACGTCACGGTGGGCGGAGCAATGACCTCACGCGCGGTGGGCGGGGCCGCTGTGTCCATAGCAACCGCAGCGCGGCGACACCAGGGCCGCAGCGGGTCATCGGGTCACCGCTTCAGTGGAACATCACTGGTCAGTGAGTAGGAACCGGTTATTAGTCGATTGGAGAATCGCTTTCCACAAATCCCTTCAATTTTTAAAAGCAATAATAATTTGGTCACCGAAACCCACGGCTGTGTGTGGGACGACATTGCTCTGCGCAATTGGCCGCCGCGTTTCACCCACAAATATACAGTCAATTCACTTTACAATATATTCTGTGAAGCGCTTTGAGACGTCGAGAACATCTTATATAGGGCTCTATATCAAATGTAAGGATTATTATTATTTAACAGTAGTCCTCATTGCAACACAACAAATAAAATAATATTGTAGCACTTCTGTAATGGCCACAAGACACTCTCACTGTCACCCACAATATTACTTTAAATAAATCCTGTGAAGCACTTTGAGAGATCCTCCCGACTTGATGGCACTATCAATTAAGGATGCAAGGATTATTATTATTACTGTTTATCTCTATGACAATGGGCGATTCCTTGTAGAAGAATGGATTAACGACTGGTTAGGAAACTGAAAGCAAAGAGTAGGCATTAAGGATATCTTCTCAGGGTGGCAAGAAGTAGAAGTGGTGTTCCGCAGGGATCCATGTTAGGACATCTCATCATATACATAAATGATCTGGATTCAGGAAAACAAGGTTTAGTGTTAAAAATTATAGATTGACACCAAATTGGTTTTACTGCTCTCAGGATAGACCGGATAGATAAGGCCTTTTTTGCTAGACAAGAGACATTTAAGGGGGGAATCGAACATAAACTTAAAATTCTAAAAGGGTTCAATACGATAACATAAATAGGCTGTTCCACTAGTTGGGGAATCCATAACCAGCGGACACAAGTATAAGATAGTGAATAAGGGATCTAAAAGAGAATTTAGGAGAGGTTACTTCACGCCGAGGGTAGGGAGATTGTGGCCTGAAGGTTGAATCAGATAGCAATCAAGGGGAAGCTAGACCTTCACATGAGGGAGAAGGGAATAGTGGGGTGTAGGTGCAAGGGAGGAATGGGTGAAGGCTGTGTTGAGTATGAACTGGTTGGGCCATGTTTTCCATGCTGTCATTTTTTGTTTTCTCATCTTACCTCTCTCTGCCTCTCTTTAAGACTCACTGTATGGTTCAGTTCTTCATTAAGCAGCAACCCACCAATACCTTGCCTCACTGAGTGACCATTCCTCATTTTGCAACAAGTCACTTCCATGTTCAAGCCTAAAGTTAAGATTAATTTGGTGATTTAATATCATGTTTTTTTGCAAAATTAACTGTCACAATGATATTCAACAACAACAACAACAAGATTGCATTTATAGAGCGTCTTTCACATCGGGAAGACAACCCAAGGCGCTGGACAGTTGGATCGGGACCTGAGCAGGGACGAAATGGTCAGGGTGAGGGGAGGGAAGGGAGGGAACGAGGAGGGGGTAGAGAGTCGAGAGGGGAGCTGAAGGCACGGTTGAAGAGAAGAACCACTATTCAGCCAGGAACAAAGTATACACCAACACACATTGCTATGGATCAACACAGATTGCTTAAGCATCTGAATAACATTTATTAAAACTCAGCTACTCAATCCCTATTGGGCGCAGCGATTGTTTCCACTCAGCTCTTGTTAACCCTGCCAAGCCAAAGCTGTAATAGGTAGAGTGATCCTAACTGGACAAGTGGTAGGAAACTTGCCAGACAGTGCTCTTAATGCCATGCTACAACAAAAACAACAATTACATTTGTGCAGTGAGGTTCATGTCAGGAGAAATCCCAAGGCAGTTCTCCCCTACGTGGTTTTAGCTGGTTAGATTCCACAGTTATCACTATGTACTCTGGGCTGTTACCAACATCCACCTAATCCACTTTGGCATTAGGTAAACAGGGTGTGTCTCTCTGAGGTAGAATGTGAATTCTGAACGTCCATGTACGCAACATACATGGAACTGAGTATGGTTCAGAGACTCTGAGGACTGGCGAAGGGTTTCCCCAGGTGTCTGATCAAATAAAAGTGAAACACAGCAACTGTACTGTAGTTTTCCGAATCTTTTGGCGAGTGTTTAACAACAACATCGTGCACTTATATAGTGCCCTCCACCCAGGCGGCGTCTCAGAGCTTAACAATGGTGGAGCCCAAGGCCAAGCCAGGGGGAAGGGAAGGTGACTGTAGGGGCGGTCGAAAAGGAAGGTCTTCAAGCCTGAAGATGGGGAAGGAAGGGGCGAGGCCAAGGGGTTGAGGTAGTGAGTTCCAAAGTTTCGGGGTGCAATGGCTGAAGGCACGGCAACCAATGGTGGAGCGGAAGATTCGGGGGACCGGAGGAGGCCAGACCTGGAAGAGAGGAAGCAGCAGGTACTGCTGTGGGGGGAGAGGAGGTTAGGGAGATAGGGGGGTGGCCAAGAAATGGAGGGATTTAAACACTAGAGTGAGGATCTTGAAATGGATCCGCTCTGTGACAGGAGCCAGTGGAGTTTGGCAAGTGGAGTAATCGGGGTACAGAGTTTGGTGTGGGTGGGAATGCGGGTGGCGGAGTTTTGGATGAGCTGGATTTTGGGAATAGTGGAGAAGAAAGTGGTGTTGATCAGGGACCGGATGTGGGGGAGGAAGGATAACTGGGGATCGAACCTGATGCCTACGTTGTGCAGGAATTCAGAGAGTTTTAAGTACAGGTTGGGCAGGTTGAGGAGATCGGGACCGTGGGACAGAAGACGTCGGCGGGAGCCAAAGAGTATGGCTTCCTTCTTGTTGACGTTTAACTGCAAGAAATTTGCGCTCGTCCAGCTCCTGATGCCCAACAGACAAGCTGACAGAACATCGCGGGACTGGTCGTCGCAGCTGGAGGTAGAAGTGTAGTTGAGTGTCATCCGCATACATGTGGAAGTTAACCCCGTGTCTGCGAATGACATCACCAAGAGGAAGCATATAAAAGAGGAAGCATATAGATGAGGAAGGGGGCCAAGGATGGATTTCTGGGGTACCCCACAGGTGACCAGGTGGAAGCGCGAAGAAAAGCGATTTGCAGAAATGTATTGCTGGCGGTTTGTAAGGTGGGACTTGAACCAAGCGAGTGGGGTCCCACTTAGATGGATGATGGAGGACAGGCAGTGGAGGAGGATGGTGTAGTTGACTGTGTTGAACGTGATGGAGAGGTCCACGAGGATGAGGAGGCAGAGGGAGAGATGTGTGTGAAGTTGGTTGGCAGCAACGCATTCCATAGCTTTGGCAAGGAAGGGCAGGTTTGAGATAGGGTGGTAGTGGCCAAGGTTGGAGGGATCGAGGGTAGGTTTTTTAAGGAGGGGGGATGATGACCGTGGTTTTGAGGGCGAGTGGGACTGATCCTGAGGAGAGTCACTGATTAATAGTGTCTGCCAACAGTGGGCAGAGGAGAGGGAGCTGAGTAATCAGCAGTTGGGTAGGGAGAAGGTCGAGGCTGCAGGTAGTGGGTTTCATTGTTGCGATGGTGGATGAGAGGGAGGAAGGAGAGATGAGAGCAAATGGGGACGTGGTAGGTGCTGAAGGCAGGGTGGGTGAGGGAGACAGAATGGGGGTGGTGATAGGCGACAACGGGCAGACGGATGAAGCAGCCAGGTGGATGTTGTCAATTTTAGAGGTAAGGAAGTCCATGACCTCTTCGCACTTGGCATTCGATATAATGATTGAGAGTGCTTGAGGGGGCACACGAAGGAAGTGGTGGGTGTGGCGAAAAGGATTTTGGAGTTATTGTTGGCCTCCAATATGATGTTTGAGTAGTACACAGTTTTTGTTTGCGACAGGGAGCGGTGGTAGTTGAGAAGATGTTCGAGCCACAGCTGGTGGTGAACCGTGAGGGTGGTTTTCTGCCACCTGCACTTGAGCAACCATGTTTGGGATTTTAGGGAGTGGAGATGGCTGTTGTACCAGGGCGAGCGGGTGGGTTTGGAAACAATCCTGGATTTCAGGGGGACGAGGTTGTTGAAGGTGGAGGAGAGGCGATCATGGAGTAGCTTAACAGCTGCTTCAGAGGCGCTGCGGATGGAAGCAGAGGGATAGGAGATCTGAGGATGAGAGGGTCTTTGTGAGGGTCTCGGGGGAAACCTTTTCCATGGGTGGAAAAGTATGGTTGAAGTCTTGATGGAGAGGAGAGGGATCCAAGAGGAGGAGATGAGGAAGTGGTCCGAGATGGCCTTGTCCGTGATGCACAGGTTGGAAATGTCGATGCCATGTGTGATGATGAGATCGAGGGAGTAGTCATGGTTCTGGGTCGGCGAGTTGATGTGGAGGTTTAGGGAGAAGAGGAGGGCAGTGAA